CTCTGGTGTTAGTTTTCTCTGCTATGTCTTTCTATGCTATCTAGAGCTCCACCTTGAGCTTTAAGATTTAGAGAAGCACACCTGGCCCGTGACTCTGCTTTGCAGCAACTCTGTGTGCCACAGATCACCCTGTTGTTGGGAGTGGTGAACTGCACGGCATCGTTCTCATCCATTACGTGGTGTATGGGGCTTAGCTTCTCCTGTGACCTTGTTAGGTGCTACCTAAACCACTTAAAAGGTACATAAAACTGTGTAAAGCTGTTGTAACAATACTTTAAACAAGGGTTGACACATGTAAGGGGAGAAAAATTATGTTGTCATATTGCAGGTGGACAACTTGAATATCACACATGAAAACTTAAAGCTGGAACTTGAAAACAGCCACTCAGAAAAAGTAGAGGAGTTGAAAAAGGAGTATGAATCCTCTTTTTCAGGCAAGTATTTTTGCATTCAGGTACATATGCTATAGTACTCCTGGACAAACAAAAATACTCAAGCTTTTTCCATCAATGTCTGCTTGTTCTTTGCAGTAAGCTATCTTTAAAAACGTTGGCTCAATTCCTTCTTTTGGAACTGAACAAGGCTCATTTTACATACAAATATAACAGCGATCCCACTGTAGTTGAATGAAACTTTTTAAAACAGTTTGAAGACCGGAGCTTTCTTTTTTTTCATTCAGTAAAAGGTGTCCAAATTGCAGTCTGCCCTCAACGTTGAAATTGAGGATAAGCAGAGTTCTTTCTTTCCAGGCTGAATGGGGATGAGAAATATTGCACAGTGCTTACAGCATACTGGGGCAATAGTGGCTTTTCAGGGAGGGGGTGATGTGTGCTGCATTTTAAATAGCATTGCATCTAATTGATTTAAGTGATGACAATCTTCATCCTGCCTCCAACTTGATAGCCAAGTTTCCTGTGATACTTTTGCATCATTAAAACTGATGACGCTTCTACTGCAATCAAAGAGCAAATTCTTCTGCATGGCATCTCCAGAGTAGGAAAATAAATGCTTTTCTAGAAGTTTTTGGAAGACACAATTTGAATTTTTGCTGTGTTTCTCATCAGAAACTCAGCTTTTGTCAGATGTGGCTCTTGTGCTCAGTTCCTGTTTGTTGCATGTAGATGAATGCTGTCAAAATTGACACGCTGTCAGCTAATGAAATGGGTGTGCAAGGGGCAATCAACACATCCAAAGAGGCAGTAAATCTAATACTTTGTACATTTTGGATCAGTCGATGATAAATGTTCTTTCCGTGTTGTCGTTTGACTCTGCATCTGTGCGTATGTGTATTGGCTGCCTTTTCGTGCTGCTTCTGTTCAACAAGAATTTTCATGACTTGCGTGGTAATAAAGATCTGCAAAAATAATTTCTTGCAGAGCTCAAGAGTGCCCATGAATCTGAAAGGAAGTTGCTTGAAGATTCCTTTAAGGAGAAGCAGGAATTGCTAGAGGTTTGTTAAGGGTTGGGGTCATGGCAACAGTCTAAAACTTAAAAAGCAGTTTGGAGATGTGCACTGAATTCCTGATCTGACTATACCGTATCTTTTAATTTCAGAAAAAAATCGATGAATTACAATGTGAAAACGACTCTCTGAGTGAGAAGTTGAAATCAGAAGAGCAAAAGCAAATAGCCAAAGAAAAAGCCAATCTTGTAAGTCTTGATCTTCAAAAGTAACGCAGACGAGCAGGTCTTGTAAGCCTGTGCTTTTTTTATTGCATAATGTGAAAGGTTTGCAATCAAGCCTGGTACAACTCCCATACTTATTCATATTTAATGTAAATGGCTCACCTGCCAGAAGCTTTTTCTGAATCACTACAGTGTTGTGTATTAACCTTGCCATTATAAATCTATAAAGCTGTTGAATATCTGAGTGGTGTAAGTTACACCCCAAGTTAAATTGAAGACCTGCATGTATGCAGAAGTTGTACCATAGCTTTCTTTGAGACAGTTGATAAGTGTCCTCACAGCACTGCCATCAGTGTGGACTTACATCACTACGACAAAACAACTTCTGCTGGAGCCTAATGCATTTCCTGATTCACACTTGTTGCTGATTTATCCTTCATGTAAACTTTTTTGTCCTGCCTTTCCTCCCAAGGCTGCTCTAATCTGTGATGCTCCTGGGTTAGAAATGTGCTCCGAGAGAGGTTTTCCATGCACTGGGAAGGTTACACACAAACATGCTTTTCTTTCTGGTTACCTGGAAATAACTGGAATAGCTGTAGTATTGCTTATCCCACAAAGAGAAATTCCACACTTAAAACTCACTTAGGATGCTTCTAGGTAGAAGTTGCCCTACTTTTCAGTGGAATTTAATTTCTTTTTTCTCTTGCTGCTTAATCTGGTGGCAGGGCAGAGCTGCTGCAAGAAGAATCTGCAACCACGATATGTTGCTGTGGTTGGGAGAGATGATACCAAAGAGAACGTGTTGTACACTGCGCTTGGGAGCTTGAGCTGTATTATATAGGCATACTCAGGTGGTGTTTAATTTAAAGGAGTAACAGTGAAGTTGAAATTGTCTGGCGCCTCCTGTGAGGCTGCACAGAACACCCCACCCTTGCACGAACTTCTGTTCAAAAGTAGAAATTAAACAAGAATTGCTAACACGACACAGCCCTTGGAGACGGGCAGGAGAATGCGTGGGTGGGGAGGCCCTTGTTACCTGTGCCATGGGCTGGGACTGTGTCCCACAAAACGGCAGGTGTTGCCCGCCTGATCTTGGGCTTCTGCTGTGGCAGTGAAGCTATAACTTAAAGCAGCAGACCAGTATTCTTATCCAAATATGCTAAAGCAAGTTTTGTTTGTTTTTAAAGATAAACTTAATTGCACAACACACTTAATCATTGATTGATTTCTATTTGTGTTCCACTCGGACTACTTGGAAATGGACTGAAAATTGCTTTATTTCTCCTTGATTTTGCCTGTGCCTTTGCCTTTGAAATGTAGAAAATATTTTACTCTGTAGTACTGGAATGGTTCCTTACTCTGGAGAAGAGGTTGTTGAGGAAACCAGATCTGACCTTGCCCTGTGCCCCTTCTGCTCTCCTGTCTACCTCCTGGAAAACAACAAAAAAAGGAAAAACAAAAAAGAAAGTCCACACTTGCTGATAAGTCACGTAGATGACTTGTAGATAAGTCATGTATGTACAGCAGTGCAAGATTTTTATGTGCAATTGCATTGCTAGGCTTTAGGAATGTAAAAATGAAAATTTCCTGTTACTGCTTGTGAACCAGCTCCCTTCAGACTCAAAACAGGAAAAATCAGCTACAGCCAGGTTCAAAGCTTGAAACTTCTGCTACTTTTTCAACTACTCCAGCATCTGGAAACCCTTGATGTGTTTATTCTAATTACCTCTTGGGATGGGTTATGAGTAATATGAAATAAATTTTGGAACTCCTAGCCTTAAAGGGAGCCTTTGGGCACTCCTGTAACACAAGTTTTGCTGTGACAGCTTTAGTGCCTGCCTTTGACTCACAGAGGTAGTTCACATCTCTGAATACAGTGTTTTCTAAACACCCGAAGGAAAACTGCAATTCTTCACCTACACTGAAGGACAAACAAAATCAGAGGAGAAAGTGGTAGATCTTTTTATTCTAAAGTGTTTGGCTTGATTTCACTTAGAACAAGTATCAGTTGTTACCATATTTATAGTCCTGCTCTTTCTAAATAGCAGAGAAACACTTAAATTGATCCTGAAACTCAGGGCATTAAGCAAACTGTGTGGAATTCTTTCAGAAAAACCCGCAGATTATGTATCTGGAACAGGAGCTGGAAAGTTTGAAAGCGGTGCTGGAGATCAAGAATGAGAAACTCCATCAGCAGGATATAAAGCTAATGAAGATGGAAAAACTGGTGAGTGTTCCTTGGGGTCTCGCAGGTTTGGGCCGTGCCTCTGAGTTATGCTCTGATAATGAACTTGGGCTGGTCAGAGGATTAATTTTTTTGCTTAAAAGGAATCATGAAATGATGATGGGCCATGCTTAGCCTGCAGGCACAATTGTATCTGCATTGGCCTGCAATGTAAAGAGGGGGAAGGAATCGCCAGATGTTGTAAATGACCTTTTAACCTCTTAAGACAAGTACTGGTTTGCGTAAACTATTGCTAAGTTGGTACAGAGTTATCTGAGAGCCTCTTCTGCATTTCCTTTCCTCTTCCCTCTCTCCTCCCCCATCCCTCAGAGAAAACATCCTTACCTGCTGTGTTAGCTTGAGTGTTATAGAAGACAGATTGCACTGTCAGGAAAACATTAACATGGAAATGACCCTAATTAAACAAGAAGGAATAAAATACGAAATAACTGTGTTCAACTGTGTTCCTGATTTGTGCAGAATCCCACATGAAAAGGCAATTTTGGGGGTCAGAACTTGTAATTACTTACCATGCTCTTGTTTGTGGCAGGAGCATGTCCTTAACCCTGGGTGGGGCTTTTGAAGACTGCTGTAATACTCACTTAAGCAAGGTTTTAATGAGGAAGTATAGAAAGAGGTTTGGATACAAAGGAATACATTCGTGTCAGTTGTTCAGTATTGTACAGTGTTGTAAGTTGCCCTGGCCAAAATTACTAGTAAATTACTAGTAAACCTTCATCTTTTCTGACAGATGTTGGCCACAGTATAGAGGCCCTTGGACCTCCCTGTATTTCCTTAACTTTCTATAACCACCTGCAGCAATGAAGTGGAATCAGGAGAGCAACAGGGAGAGCTGATTATGCAGGGGAGCTCTTGAGTTGGTCACATTAGCAAGTTACTTCTGCAGAGTCTTCTGTCTGCAACAGCTTCTAAAACTGCTGCCCATCACTGGCAGAAGTTACTAGAACATGTTGATTAATAGTAGTTCCCTTATCCCCTCCTCCTGTGTTGGCATCTCATCAGTGCAAGAGGCAAAATGCCAGTGTCATGCAAGGATAAGGCAAGTAGGATCTATGTGACTATTACAGAACAGTAAGCCACGATAGCAGGTTTAAGGTCGGCAAACTCCACATTACCAATGTGTGATAGCTCAGTCAGTATCTTGATGAGTGCATGTTTGGGTTTTATTTTAAACTTTGTCCTTTCTTCTGAAGCTGGAGAACAACACAGTCTTAATGGAAAAATTAAAGAAGGTTCAGCAAGAAAATGAAGAATTAAAAGCTCGGATGGACAAACACATGGAGCTTTCAAGGTGAAAACTATCTGTGTACTTTTACATGTTCTTATGAACCAGGGAAAGGTGTTCCTGTGACAAGAAAAAAATAATCTGTGTGAACATTAGTGTCTGGGATGTTGTTGTTTACAGAGTACTACATGTCCCGTTCTTCCCCACTTCTGTCTCTACAAATGTGCATTCCTATGTAGAAGAACAAGCAGGAACAGATTGTAAGGGGGTGAAGCCTCAGTACGTTCTCCAAAACAATATTTCAGGGAAGAAAAAGCAACTCTGAAATACCACCTGATAACAGATTGGCGCTTTAAGTATTCCTGGCTTGTAACCAGTAAACCTGGTTTTGCTTTTAGCCATTTCAGCTGAGTGATTTATCCCAAATTTAGATCAGTGAAAAGACCAGTGTGTCTGCAATAACAGCAGTATTTAACATTAATAAAATTAATCTGAGGCTCTCCTTTCTTCAACTGTTGCTTAAATCGCTGGGCAAACTCTCCCAATTTGAAGGAAACTGCAGCTCCTTGTGTAAAGCTGAGCCTGTAACAAGACCCAAAGGCTCCAGCGTGGCCATTTAAAGCATCTGGCATAGTAAGCAGGATGAGTCTCACTTTTCAGATGCTTTTTCTGGCCTTTAGAAATGTTTCTTACTGGTACTTTCTCCTGCTTTCTACAAGCTACCAGTTTAAATCCAGCAAAAAGGAGAACATGCTTAAATCCTCATTTTAAGGAAGTAATTTAGGTGTAAGCCAAGCAGGGGTTTGTGCAATTTCAAACCTTTCTTTAAACGTTAAGTTTAGCACTGTAGCCTCCAATGTGTTCTGATGTAAGTCTTGCGTTTGCAGGCAACTTTCTACGGAGCAAGCGGTTTTACAGGAGTCTCTAGAGAAAGAATCTAAAGTGAACAAACGCCTGTCGATGGAAAACGAAGAACTTCTGTGGAAGCTGCACAACGGTGACCTATGCAGCCCAAGAAAACTGTCTCCCAGTTCTCCATCCGTGCCTCTTCAGTCCCCACGAAATTCCGGTAACTTCTCCAGTCCTACAGTGTCACCAAGATGACATCTCTTGAGAAAGAAGATTGCATCTTCTTTGTGATCTGCAGAGAACAGATTCTGAATTTCATCACAGGAGCAAGAGCTATATTAGCTGAGTATGATGACTAAACATAACTGGAAACTATTTGGTGCAAAAACAGCGATAAGAGACAGAGTATGGGAGTAAGACATTCGTGTTGCTCCTCCCAAAAAGACTTGTTTATGACCTCTATGGACATTGCTGCACGAAGCACTTCCAGAGCAAGGAAAGACTTGTTCATTGCCTTTTCACCTAACTATAAGAAAAAGCTCAGGGGCTTAAAGATAAAGATCACAACCTTTATAATATGTTCCTTATCACAGACACCTTTTTAAGGCTGTGCGTATGCATGTGTGCGTGTGCTGTGGATGGGATGGATGTAACACACTGTGCGTGTGTCTAATGCTGCCTTCTTTGCTGTGTACGTAATAAAGGATAAAAGCTGAAGACTATACATTGACACATACCTCCTTAATAATGTTGTCAGTATGCATGCTTTTAGCAGAGAGTACCCTCCCCTGGGAATGAGGAGAAACTGCAACTAGTATAGGTTGGTTTCCTTCATCCTTCTGGCTTCAGTTCAGCGAAAAAATGGCATGAAAAGCTTTGTCAACGGACTCGATAGTGTCTTGGCTGACTTGAGTATGCAACCTTGAATTAATTTTAAAAACAAGCGAAATTGCAGCCATATTTTGCATGTATTCTTGGTTTAATGTCCATGCACAACTGCCATTTACAAGGAGGCATTTTTCACAGAATGCAGTGGATTTTGGCTTTTAAGTCAACAGGGTTGTAGTCAGAACCACGGTAGCCCTTGAGGTCAGAAGTTATCAGGTGAGCTGTGGGTTTAGAAACATAGACTTCTCATCTTGCCTGCTGAAAAGGAATCACTTGTTTCCCCAAAACAGCCTGTCCACTGCTGAGGCTGTCTGCTGAGGGAAAACTAGATGTAGCTTTGAAAGCCAAAGAGAAAAATGCAATAATTGTCATTGGGTGCATTTTAAAACTCGGTTCTCAAGAGGAATCTTAAGTAATTTGTGAATTCCAATGTAGCTGATGACACACTTTGCCTTTTTGAACATTACCATTTGTATTGACATTTTTCAGGGTTGGCTGAATTAACCTGAGCAATAGGAGGAAGGCAGTAGCCATGCATTTATCTGGCTAAGTCAGCTATACCTTCCCTCTTAAGACTGCAGGATATCAGTGTTTTGCCAGTTCACATGGCAGAAGATCCTGTACAAGAGATCCTGTAGAGCAGGAAAAAAAAATTTGTCCTGGCTGCTGGAATTGGAGGCTGAGGGTGCCGGTGTTTCTGGAAATGTTATTTAATGTAACTTGCTATGCCCTTGGCCATACCTGTTTAAGGCATCTACCTTGTATCTACTAAACACAGGTTCAACTTCAAATTGGTATTACAACACTCTCTATGCTTACAATAGCTTGGGTTTTACTGTACCACTTCCAGGACCGCTGTTGTACTGTTTTGTAGGTAATGCTGTTAGCTGGCCATACAGTTAAATGCTACAGTAAACTTTATCTGCTGAGTTTTCTGTGTTTTTCAGTAGCCTGGGGACAGGAACTAAGGAGAAGGAAAGTGTTTAGGGAACTCAGCTGGAGAACCACTTCAAACCATTTACCCAAGACTTGAAAAATCTTGGCTAGTAATGAGGAATACAGACCTAGAAACAAGACTGTTACAGTGCTTGTACAGTAAGTAAACTTGTAATAAACTTGTGATTGACTATTTCATAACTAAATTTACTTAATTTCTCATAATGTACATGTGAAGGGTGTCCTTTCTATGGAACATTATGCTCTCTTTTAATCCTCTTTATGGTACTGTACATTCCACTACTAGTGGTGTCAGTACTTAAACTGTTTTCTAGGAGTTCCAAATTTAACTATGAATATCTTTTGTGGGCTAAAACTTGGCTTAAAGTATAACTTTACATTCTTATTTTCTATGGTCAGAGATTTGATCACATGTATTTGAGTCAAACACTAACAAAATAAATTTTTTTTTAACTGACTGAAGAGATTTTCTCCTCCTTGTATTGGTCAAAATGATCTTTAATCTGAGGAGGAACATTCCTCCAAATACTAAAGATTCTTATTACCTGTTCAGCACAGCAGAACAGCAATTGTGAAGCTTCACTGCATAAATTAATAATGTTCAGCTAAGCCTTAGAGAATTTTAACTCTACCCTTGCAACTCTAATGTAGGCAGAAGTTACACAGAGCTTGCTTCTGATTATTAGTGATTCAGTTTGAGATAGCTGTTAAGAAAAAAGAGAATGTAGATAACATTACAGAATTAAGCAATAATAAAATACTTAAGTACAGTTGGCTTTATAGAGGGACCCAATGTGTATATGCCTGGTAAAGGCATCCTAAAGGACTCATTAAAATGCTTACCTTACAAATTTTTTTGGTGAAGAAAAGCCACGTAGAGTTTAGCAATCTAACAGGTAAGTCACAAGAAGAGTTGTCTAGCACTGGTAAGAACTTTATTGTCTTAGTTGCAATGTTAGTGCCTCAAATAAAACATGCAAGAAAAGTGCATACAAATGTTTGAAGATCAAATATAGTGTACCCTTTCATGTAACATAGAAGGGGAAAGCTTTTCCAGGGCACCATACAGAAAAGTATGGTATAGTAAATAATGCAAAGACTGTTAATTTATCCATACTTTCCTCCACAACACAGGAGACTTCTCACCTCTAAACTTCTTGCAAGTAGAATCTTTAGTGCTCTTACAAAGAAGAGAGGAACCCTTGTATATAGAAATGAGACTGCGGAAGTACCTGTGTAGTGTTTGTCTTGTTGGTCTGTAAGAATTAAATAATTCTGTTCACCTGTAAGCAGTGTTGCAGTATTTTTCTCCATTTAACTAATTTTAAGTATTAATACATTTTGAGCTTTAACTTAAATACCATATGTCAGCAAAGGCTTTATTTGATCCAGAGACTTTTACATAAATTTTTGGCAATTTTTTTAGCAGTTTCCTTTAGGAAAAGCTAGAAATCTGGTCACCATAAATAAATTCCAGAGGGCTAGTGCTAGTCAAGCAATTAACCAAATGGTTTTCTTCAGATATTCAACCTTAACTAGTAGTTCCAACTCTAATGCTAAGTTTCAAAGGAAGTTGCAGTGACACGTATATCCATACCAAATACACTGTAGCCATTCAGAACGTGGTTCATATTCACCCTTCAATACTTTTCTCTAAAGGTTGTTGTATGAGTTGCACTGTATTTGCTGTAAAATGAGGTGAATAATTTCCTTACGCTAACTGCATGCTTTAAGTTTCTCATTACAAACACCAAAGGCACTTGCATGTAGACAGGTAGAGAGTCATAGTACCATGTGATTCATGCAGGAAATTCCTTCTGGACAGTAAGCAACCACTGATCTTTAAATATGTAGTTATGTGACAACCAGGAAATCATTCAGGACTGAGCTAGGGTTAAAAAGGTCATCAGAAAGTTGGAAGAATCATTGAACTCCGAAGAAACAAATACCTTCTTTCCATTGCTGCTGCCTTGCCTTAGTGGAGTGGTGACTGAGGTATGGAAATAAAAATAACAGTACTGGCAGGCTTAGGTATATGACTTTGATAAGTCACTTAAATTTCATTTTCTGGGCTTTCTTCTCTTCCCTTGTGTCACTGTTCATTTATGTGGAATTGCATCAATGTAAAAAGAACCAGGCCTGCCAGGAGGCTTTTGGTAAAATAAGAACTAGGTAAAGTATATAGTAAAGTATTTCTCATTGTTTACAATGATGAGAATTATTTTGATGTTTGCAGGGGAAAAAAAATAACCAACCACTAAGAATTATTCCTTAAAGGCACTGCTTCTGTAATTATAATCAGTCTTGAGAACTGTGCGTGATGGGTAGACAGAGTCATTAAAGCTGAGGGAGACCACTCCAGCCATGATGCAGCAGTGGATTTACATCATCTTTTCCTCTCCTGCCAAGCTGCCACCAAGGAAGTGATGCTACCACCTGAACTGCTGTGCTGTTGAACAAGTCTGAACAGGTGATGCTATCTCCCACTTGTGAAGTATTTTAAAGGAAATCCACTGTCAAAGGCTCAAAAGCACTTTGAAAATTAAAAAGTTGACACAGCTCCTGTAGTTCAAAGGAAAATGCACTGTTGGTATAAATGAAAGAAAATGCTAACAAGGAATAAACACATTGCACATCCTCATCCAGAAGCTCAGGGATTGGTAAAGTTACTTTGGTCAGACTGAAGTCATGCTTAAAAAAAAAAAGGTATTACTATGAAATTTTGTAACACCTATTTAGTCATTTGGATAACAGTGATACCTTTTAATAGCAGTGAGAAAGAAGATTAACAAGGTATGGCCTCTTACACATTGAAAGTTGAATTCAAAGTTGAATGTGTAAGATACTACAGCTTGATATCTTTAATTATATATTTTTAAGCTACCTTATTGTTGGCCTCTATTAATATTACAGGCATCTGAGGGGTGTTTTCCATGAAAACTATTTCATGAGACAGGCGTAGCCATTTCAGTTGTTACCATGGATATTTATCATATTGGTTACATTGCTTTAGGTTCCAGCATGCTGAAGAAAAAAACGTTAAGCAAGCTTGTTTAGTGCTTTCATTAGCTGCACTAATAATCAGGTTACCAATACTATTTGGAAACTGCCATTTTTACAGTAGTGCTTCCTAGGTATCACTACTCAAAACACTACTGTGCACATTTGCTCAAAGGTTTGAATCATCTGGAGCAAAGGGCTTATTTCAAGCCTTCACCAGAAGCAAGCTTTAGGAATTCCAGTCAAGTGCAGGCTGAGATGCATTTCAGTGTGCAAACAAGGGACCAGTTCCTCATATGCTCAGAATAAGCAGTTTTTCACATACCTTGTAAATAAAATGGCTTGCATTAAAACTTTTTTTTTGTCACACAATTACACTACTGAGCATATTTTTGTTGCAAGTTCTAGCTTACACAGATTTTCTGCCGGACCCTAGGAAGAAAAAACATTGTTGGACATTTTTGCAATGTTGTTTCCAAGTTCTTACCTTTTCTCTGGAAAGGCTTTCCTTGTCTTGGCAACTTCAATCCAGGCTGAGAGAAGCAGTTGCTTATTTATCCAGGTTATAGTTCTATATAAACAAACATCTTTTCTCCTAATTAATGCAATCAAGTTGAACTTGTTATTAACCTGAGAAGATATTCTGCTGTATAACGAAACATTATTCTAATGTCACCTTTGGGTTGTTTTTTGTTTTGGGTTGTTTTTTCCTTCTGTAAATGATACTATATAAATAAATGCAAGTTTTACCTTTAGCAAATGTAACAGCATACATCAATGGAGGAGTGAATGCTAAGTAAGCTACATATTACAAGGTTGTAAAAATGCAATAACTTAAGGAAAATCTGACATACCCAACCACTCAAAGTCTCTTGAGCTACCCTCTAGCACCTTAATGTATATTTAGAATCAATCTTCCCCAGGAGTGAGAATTTTAGTAATGTGTTTGTCTTTATATATACATGAAATGAACACACACACATATATGCACAGATGCATTGAGATTTTCATACTGTTCACAAATTTAATTATTCTTGGAAAATAAACATTGCTAATGATGATTCTATAACAAGTTTTTTTGTTTTGTTTTTTGTTTGCTTATTTTAAACACATACAGTACTCTAAAATTGCACAGCACCAGAAGAGAGAGACCCGCATTGGTGGATTTTTGAGGATATTTAATATCCTTTCAGTTTTCACACACACAAAAAAGGCACAAACCATACAGCGGGTTAACCTCATGAAAGAGTTTGAGGAGGCTTAAACTTCAATGCTTCATAGTAGTTTTAACTCACAGCTGACTATGGCCAGGCCCAGGGAACTCTGTTTTGGCCTGTCAAGCCAGTGACTATGGAATGCACTGACATATGGAAAGAGGCAGTGATAGAGAAAACTTCATTTAAACATTAATAAAGAACCTAAATGGCTAAAATGTCAAACAACAAATAAGGTCCAGAAGCCTCTCCTATCAATTCAGTTCAACTTTAGTAGCTACCATTGTTTCTCCTTGTAGGTTCTCAGCAATACAAATGTAGTTTCCAGCATCTCTGGCTTCAAAATCCTCAATAACAAGAACACTTTTGGAGAGCCTTGTAGTATGTCCAGTTCCTCTGTTTATCAGTCTCCAGAAGTTTTGGATAATCACAGGCCTCTCAACCTGTTTAAAAAAACAACAAAACCAAAACAAAGCAAAAAAAAAAACAAACCACAAATCAGAAACAACCACCTGCATAAGTAAATACATGATTCTGCAGGTTGGATTTAGTGACACTACCCTATCAAACCCTAAAGCAGGAGGTCAAAGAATAGGAGCTGAAGGCACTGGCAGCAGAAAAACCTGCATTAAATACTAATGTACCAATAAGTTGTCAAATAAAGATAATACAATGGCTCTTTTACTGTAAGTGCAGATGCTGTGCATCTTTAGACTACTGACAGGGCTGCCAAAGCTCTGCCTGGAGTACCTGAATGAACTTGGTTGCAGCTGTGTTCCACTCGCTAAGTTTGCATTTGGGTATTGGTCAAATAGGTGAGGTACCTTGGGGGACTCTCAGGATACATGACCTTAGTTTCAGACTTTCCGCAGTCTCAAAAAAGAAGGCAGCAGTGGCATGAGTTAGTTGACCAAGCTTGACCTAGTTCTCTTTTAGCACAGAAAATAGCTTTAAATAGTGTGTTGCAAACTAATTCCTCCTTCTCTAGTTTGAGAAACACTGTACTAGATAACATACAAGCAAACAGTAGTGATTCACAACTGCTTTAAATTAATCCTCACTATGCTTTCCAAAATGAGTATGTACCTTTGAAGTCAAAAAATACAAAGAAGGATGCCTAAAAGATGCTTTTTTTGTATTTTGTTGTTGTTGTCACCATATTTATAACAGGTTAGTTTGTGTTCTCCCCCCTCGTAAGAGAATTCTCTGATTGGCTGTACCAGGTCACACTCCCTGGCACCTCAGGAGGTTGCAGAGGACTGGGTAAGAAAAACTGGCCCAAAGACAGACTAAGGCAGTCTCTCTCCTTTCAAACTCCATCATGCTAGGCAGCAGCTTTAATCATGTTGGCTTATGCTTTACCAATAACCTGGATAAAATTGGTAAGCACAAGATAGGTTTCTGCTTGGAAACAGTCGCCTCTTGCTTCACAGAATAGATGGATTAGCCATCTACCAAGGCTTAAGCTAACAGTAGTAAAAGGGTGAGTTAGACACTCATCTAGAGACAAAGCTACAATCTCATGCTTGCAAAATAGCCAGCGTAGAAGAAGCTGCCAGTCTTCTTGAAGCTTAGGCATGAGTCAGTCAGGGAATGCCTAGGAAATGGCAGGCATTTACAGACACCAAGACCTTTTTTGAAAAGCTGGTAATCATCTCACCTAGAAATTCTTAACCCTTTAAAAGCAATCAAGCCATTCAGCAGAACTCTATGCAGTAGAGCAGAGTTCCCAGGCTAAAAAAAAATCAAGTGCTACCTACAACCAAGTACTACTGCACACCTAATTCAAGTCTGTTAGTTCTTAAATGTAGCAAGAGGAACTTCCCCACCCCTACGGAAAGAGAAGGTAAAGGCCATGTAAGGCAGATGCTATTTGCCTGTTTGGGTTCCTGCTAGCCCAGTTTTTCTCAAACTAATTGCCCTCTGCTTTGAAGCTAGTTTCAGGGAATCATTAAGGAGTGGATCAGTATGCAATCACATCAGGTGAATGTGTGAATGCAATCGTCAGGGAGTGGCACACCATTCAGTTGTGAAGGATGTAAAAGTAGCAAGTGGTGGACACTAATATGATACGAAGTTTTGAAAGGCCAGGCTAAGTCTAGAATTGAATTCCTTCCATTGTTTGTTCTTAGTAATGAGTTAGTTAGAAAGTATGTACAGTTGGAATTTGTATAGCCAGTTACTACAGTCCAGTAAACAGGTATGAAAACCCAAGAGAAAACTCTATCGATCAACAAAGCTAATGAGATCAGTAGAGGCATTTCTTTTCCTCCCCACCCAAAAGAGTGAACTGTAAGACTGTCAGCATTAAAGCTCCATCCTGAAGGATGAAGGCACTGCCATTTGTTGGTGCATCTCACTCAAAGTAATGCTAAGAGCTCAATTCAGAGAAAGACATGGGGCATTTAACTCAAAACCCACTATTGCTCTGCAGCACCCTGAACCTGGAGGCACTTAGTTTACCTTAGCATTTTGCTTTTTACTCCACTGACAGCTGAGAGTTTCTCTGCTTGTTTAGACACTGGCCCCTTTCCTTCCTAACTTCAAATGGACTCCAGAAACAGGAATTCTTCTGCCAAACTCTTCCAATGATCCATCCAGTAGTTACTCATCAGATTACTTAATTCATGCTATCAGTGCCAAGCCTCTCACCAAGTGCAGTTGAGGCTGCCCTCATTTAACAACCAGGACAGGGCAGGAAGGGGAAGTTGGTAACTGCTCACGAACTCTCAGACTTTGGTAGTCTCAGCAGGAAAACTTACAACAAGCAGCAGCAAAAAAAAAAATTAAAAAAAATGAGGGGAGAGAGGGAAGTGAAAGAATGAACTAACATCTAAGCAGGGACTAGAAGCCTGGTTCTATGTGCCCAGTGCCTTCACCAGCAGTTCAAATCCTTTTTGTGCTCACTTGCTCTGTATTTTTACTCCTGAAAAGGCACACACCATCCCTAACAGTAGAGTGCTGCAGTCTCCCTCTTAATGGCTACAGCAAACTTCTGGGGCTTTAGATGTGAATTTTCTCAAGCCTAGTAAGCACTGAACTCCAATCACTGACTTAAGCAATTACCTCTGCCAGTAAATTACTTGATTTTGCGCTGGATAACGGAAACCAGTGCTGATACAAGTACTTTATCGGCAAGTTCCTTTGACAACCCAGCACCAGGAGGACTGGCAAGTGGAATACAATGCAAACCCTCAGGTCCCAGGTCTTCTTCTTTTCACTGGTGAAGGGTTCCACCATCCAGCAGCCCTTCCTTTGCTCCTCGCTTGCTTAGCATAAACAGCAGTAGAGCTGAGTGCAGAAGCAGCTCTCTGGGCTTCTGGATGACAAAAAGAATTCAGCTTAAAGGTTCTGTGCTGTGATGATTCACGCATTCAAGCCAGGGAGATGGATCAAATGCAAAGGCATTGGTGAGGCTTTGTGGCTTGGCCTAGAACAGCTTCCTGACACTGGCTGGCTTTGACCCTGTCTGAGGCTATCCTTTGTAAATGCTGCCAGGGGCCAACTGTCTCTGGAATCAAAACCTGAGGGAGGAGTGAGCTTTGTCGAGCTCAATTTTTGCTAACATGGGTAGAGCTCTGCAGCTTCATTCCTGTGCTCCTTCTAGGCACTCAGCGAAAGATGGGTTGAAGTTCAAAAGGGAAGTGCTGCTTCCTCCTGCCAGCATGCCTGAGCTAGCAGGAGCAGACACCACCATTTGACAGAATCTTTACTCCAAATCTGGACACTGATTGGCATTCTAAGTATTGCCTTTATAAAGAACAAGCCATTTCAGCCAGGGCATGCAACTCTTACCTCTTGCCCTGGGTACTGCCACCTGAAGTTCACATCTACATCTGGCTCCCCAAGGGCTGTGCAGATTACACGAATGCTGTCACCGACTTCTGCTCTATTGGATGATGCTGCAATGGTGGTTGAGGGTGGGCCCTTAGGAACTGACAGAAAGCCAGAGTTTGGAAGCATGAAATTAGTTTCTAAAAGTTAAATACACTGATAAAATGCAAGAGTCAATTTTTGGCTCAGGTTGCCTAATACAACAGGTAAGTGATATACACCTGTGACTCTTCCCATCTACGCTGCAAAATTCCTGGAATTTAAACCTACCAAGTTTTATCATATATCATTTTGATCAGGATTTTAAAACTCTGTGATTACATTACTTATTTTACAAATTAATTATTTTAAATTGTTTTCTAAACAATGTCAGCAGAAGAAACAAGAGACACTGTAAGCACAGAGAAAACTACACCTTACCTTCCACGTACAGTAGGTGATACTTGATGGAAATCTGAGGTGTTCCCTGTGACTCTGCTTTGCAGTAGACGATACCTTTATGATCAGAAGTAGGGTGCTGGTAGATAAAACCCTTCTGCACATCATAAATAATATCAGATCCATCTGTTTCAATTTCTTCTGCTGGGAATTCCCTGTGTAGAGTTACTTTTGCTGAAGGAGTAGTAACACGGCATGGGATGACTGCAGGTTTATCTGGGTTCAGGTACACAATCTCAAAATAACTGGGAGTAGGTACAAAAAGTTCTTCTTTATCTGTGCAGAGAAGTTGATATAGTTGGAATAATATTTACATCTTGGTTTAGCAGAAAAAGAAGAAACTACAAATTACAAGAGAAAATAGCTATGAGCGACATTAAAAATTAACCCAAAGTTTTTTGCTTTAAATAAGCCCCTATAAGAAAAAAATAATTTTCTAATCTGTGTGTACATATTTATATAGAATCATAGGATGGTTTTGGTTAGAAAAGACCTTTAAGATCTTTGAGTCCAACAATCAAACCAGCCCTAAGTCTGCCACTAGACCATGTCACTAAGCATAACATCTACTCATCTTTTAAACACCTCCAGGGATGGTGACGCAACCGCCTCCTCCAGGGATGGTGACCCAACCATCTCTCTGGCCAGCCTGTTCCAGTGCTTCACAACCCTTACAGTAAAGGGATTTCTCCTAACATCCAATCTAAACCTTCCCTGGTGCAACTTGTGGCCATTTCCCCTTGTCCTACCACTATCTATCAGGGAAGAGACACCAACCCCCACCTCACTACAACCTCCTTTCAGGTAGTTGTAGAGGGTGATAAGGTCTCCCCCTCAGTCTCCTTTTCTCCAGATAAACAACCCCAGCTCCTTCAGCCACTCCTTTTAAAAGGAGCTTGTAAGCTCTGATGCCCTTCTCTGGATGCGCTCCAGCATCTCAATGTCCTTTTTGTAGTGAGGGGCCCAAAACTGAACACGGTATTCGAGGTGCAGCCTCACCAGTGCTGAGTACAGGGACCCAAGCACTTCTCTAGTCCTGCGGGCCACACTACTCCTGATGCGGCCCTTCTTGGCCACCTGGGCACACTGCTGGCTCAAATTCAGCTGGCTGTCAATTAACATCCCCAGGTCCTCCTTCTCTGGGCAGGTCTCCAGCCACTTCTCCCTAAGCCAGTAGTGTTTCATTGGGTTGTTGTGACCCAAGTGCAGGACCTGGCACTTTGCCTTGTTGAACCTCATGCAATTGGCCTCAGACCCATTGATTCAGCCTGTCCAAGTCCCTCTGCAGAGCCTTCCTACCCTCAGGCAGATCAACACTCCCTCCCAAATTAGTGTCATCTGCAAACTTGCTGAGGGAGCACATCCAGATCATTGATAAAGATGTTAAACAGGACTGGCCCCACAACTGAGCCCTGGGGAACACCGTATGTGACTGGTTGCCAACTGGATTTAGCTCCATTCACCACAACTCTCTGTGCTCAGCTATCCAGCCAGTTTTTAACCCAGCAAAGCGTATGCCCGTCCAAGCCATGCCCAGCCAGCTTCTCCAGGAGGATGCTGTGGGAGACAGTGTCAAAGGCCTTACTAAAGTCCAGGTAGACAACATCCACAGCCTTCCCCTCGTCCACCAAGCAGGTCACCTCGTCATAAAAGGAGA